AAGGTTGGTGTACATTGTGGTGAAATCAACCGTGCGAGGAGAGAGGCCACGTAGAAAGGACACATTGTTTTTCAGGTCAATCGCCACCTCATCGGCACGCTGGACGATCCAGCACCGTCGAACACCTTCCTGTTGATAGAGCTCAGTGTCTTTCTCACGAAGAGTAGAGATCACGCATTGCAAAGCAGTGCTGATATATATATATATATATCGTCACAAACAAAACTGCCCGGTAAACCGTAGGCAGAGAGAGAGAAGAGGACAACAAACGAGGATATATGTATATGTCACACAGATTCAAAGTACAGTTACCGACTACTTCTTCACCACAGTAATTTTCACAAGCTTTCTTAGCACTATGCTATCATATGAGCAACGGAATTCGACATTTATTGTGGGATTTAGGGCACAGCTTAGATTTATCAAAGTACAGTTACGAACAACTACTTCGCCACCGTAGTGATCCACTCCAAGGTCCAGGATCGGAACAGCAAACAAAGGAGGAGGAGGAGGAGGAGGAGGAGGAGGAGGAGGAGGTCTGATGGTCAATCCTCTCCTTTTAACGAGCAACCAATGCTGTCGAGGCGGTCCTTCAGATTTAGCAGAAGGAAACGTGTGGAGATATCTTGTTGTACCGTTCTGAGGAAACGAACCGGACTGACGCTCCACAGAATGGAAGACGGGGAGCGTAAGGCCCTGTTATATTTTTGTTTTTGAAGGGGGTGCAACAACTAAAAGATTGCCCTGAAGAATGGAGGGGAAAGCAGCCTCCTCGAGCATAAGCCAAAGTAATCCCGTACTTACCCAAAAGGTGTCTGATTGGATGCCTAAACGTTATGTCACGAGCAAAACCCAACTGTCGATGCTTAGCCCATCTGCTACATCGGAAATCTGGCAACAGAAAACAGAAAACAACAATTCTGGCAGTCAAATGCCTGCAATTGGGAGGAGGAGGAGGGGGAGAAAAAGGGAGAAAAAGGGAGGAAGAAAAGAGAGGGATGGGAAAAAAGAAAAAGGGAAAAAATGCGATGGACGAGGCGCAGGTAGGCGAGGAGTAGGAGGAGGAAGGAAGGAAGAGCGAGGAAGAGAATGATGAAGAGGAGAAAAGGAGGAGGAAGGTGAGAAAAGCAACATGAAGAAGATAAAAAAGTTAAAAAAACAGCAAAGAACAGGAGCAGGAAAACTAAGAAAGATAGGGACACGAATAGAACAGCCATCAAAATACAAGGTGGAGGATAATTGCAACAGTACCGCTGATGGAAGCGATAGTACTTTTGTTAACAATCAGGAAACAATGGTGAAGATGGGAGTGATGACGATGACCAATGAAACCACTTCCACGTGAACGTTGGACGCTGAAGGACACAAAGTATTCTTCTTCTTGCTCTTCAGAGCATGTAGACTCCAAACTTCCAAAGGGGACTGAGCATTGAGCAACATCACACAAGACTACAATGAATGCCACACTTGTTTGGATTATGAACTAAGTTCAACTAACTACTTGGTTACCTACTTGATTAGCGATTACAGTCTTCCCCCAAACAAAACGCACGTTCGTTAATTACGAACGCACGTGCATTATACTACGGATATAGGGTACCAACTTTCGGAAAATGGGCCCTCCAAAAAATTAGTACCCTGTATCCATACTTGTCCTTCGAGATTAGCATGGCCTCTGCGGAAGGATGACACACATGCGAGGATCAGGGTCCTTGGTAGGCCTATGGGGCCCTGTTTGCAGCATTACCCGCCCTAAGTGAAGGCGGAGGTGCCCGCCCTAAGTGAAGGCGGGCCTGGCTTTTTTGCAAGAGGCCCTCGTCTGTCAATTTCATATTTGGGGTCCAGGCAGTTGCGACGCGCCAGTTGGTTGAAAGAAACACAGGCCGAGCAACAAAGACATTTCCACGGCCCTCCGGGCCTTTCCAAAGAATGCAGGCCCTGGTCGTGATTCGCAGCCTCATACAGAGACAGTTGGGCGCCCAACCGAACGAGGCTCAGCAGCCCAGTAGCTGCTGTACGCAGGCAGCCTCCTGGGGCCTTCCGGAAGCTTCTGGGCCCAGGCCAGCCCAGCCAGGCTGCGAGAGCTGGCCAGCTCTTTTCCATAAAGGAAAGAGCTCTGGCCAGGCAGCCTCATTCAGGCACTCGCATGCTAGCGGCAGCGCTGCTGGAGCAAAGGCTCGCGGCTGCTGGCTGGCGTGAGAGGCGAGGTGCAGCACGTGCGGTCGTGCAGAGGAGGAGGGTGCTGCTGAGGGCAGCGCCATAGCCCAGCCACCATAGCTGGTGGGCTTGGACTACAGTGAAGCGCAGGGGTGGTCTTCGGGTGAAAGAGAGAACAGGTGTGGGTGTAGTCAGGGGATAGGTGAAGGATGATGATGATGATGATGATGTGAGGGCACGTACCTTGTATTGGCAGTGGTCTGCATGGGCGACATCTTCAAAGTACTTCGAACTGCCGCTGATTTCAACAGTTGCATTGTCTTTTTGTAGTCTGTAGTAGCTGTGTAGGAGTAGGCTGGGTGCTGAGCGCCAAGTGGGAGTGGGAAGGAACTGGACTCTTGTGTTGAGAGGAGAGAGTATGCTCTCCATGAACATTGGTTTTCAGTGCTACGAACTTCCATTGGTGTATTATTGGTGCAATGCTGCTCTCTGGACACAGTGTGACTATTTGGCTTTCAATGTGATGATGTGATCTGGAATTGTCATCTCGCTGTTACTTATTTTTCCTTGCACACATAAATAAATAAAAAAATACTCCAAATGTAAAAAGGAAAAGAAAAAGACAAAAAAAAAAAAGAAAACAAGAAAAAAACATGACAGCCCATCAAGAAGCCGGGCGGGAGCAATCAGGAGGGAGCAAGTGAGCGGGAGCGATAGAGAGTTCTGCATGTGTGTGTGTGTGTGTGTGTGTGTGTGTGTGTGTGTGTGTGTGTGTGTGTGTTGTGTGTGTGTGTGTGTGTGTGTGTGTGTGTGTGTGTGAGAGAGAGAGNGTGTGTGTGTGTGTGTGTGTGTGTGTGTGTGTGTGTGTGTGTTGTGTGTGTGTGTGTGTGTGTGTGTGTGTGTGTGTGTGAGAGAGAGAGAGAGAAAGAGAGAGACACCACCCGTGTGTTCTATTTGAATTTTGGACAGAACACCCATCTGTCCAAATAGAACATGCGTGCGTACTATTCGAACAGAACGCACGTGCGTACTATTTGGATTTCCGGGGGCAACTTTGAGAAATGGACTTTTCCAGGAAAAGCTGAATAGTACATAGTCCGTTTTGTTCGGGGGAAGACTGTAGCTAGAAATAACTTGGTGCTCAAAATCGCGAAGTTGCAAAATCAGCGGCCAGATAGAGTCCTTTTGCAAGGACTCCATCTCACCGCTGATTTCACAAATTTTGCAATTTTCACAGCGTAGTGGTGAGTATGCCCATAAACTGGTTACCGCTAGCTATTCAAACAAGTTTTTCTCAGTTTCGCATTCATTGTAGTTTCTTTCTTTATTTTTTTATTTTATTTATATAAAAAAATAATTCATTGTAGTTTCATATTCACCTTTGTGTGCTTCCGTGTGGTCAACTGAAGTTGAAAGGGTTCTTTGAGTGAAAGAGAGCATTTGACGAATGGGGTATCTTACAGAAAAAATATTATCTCACACCCTAGATATGGGGGTCGGATAAGAAAATTGACCCACTTATGCAATAACTCGTGTGCAGCAAGGGCTGTACGGGGCTCAGACCCGCCCCAGGCCACGCAGAACTTTACTGTTCTGCGTTGGGCTGTGTGACCAGGCACTGCCCAGGCCACAGACCGCTGCGTCCGGCTGTGAGACCGAACGCTGCGTGTGGAAATTCAAAGGTCAAAGTCCACTGTAGAGTCAAAGGTACCAGACCCTGGCCCTTGTCTGGATACACTCACTTGTGGTGTGCAGGTACCAAGACAGCATCCAGGCCGAAGAGGATTCGGTTTCAGAATAATCTGAGCCCTCGTCCGTATTGAGATCTGGACGACTGAGGGAGGCAGCATCCGAGGCCTAGCCCCCGAGTCAACAATATATAAGGGCTGACTTCCCGGCATTGACATTCATTCGGTCTTGCGTCAATGCTGACTTCTGCATTGACGACAACGCTGGCTCTATGCTGCGACACTGACTGGACGCTGGTTTCTGGCTGGCACTTGCGAGATACAGCGGCGCGCTGCTTGCCAGGCATGGTGGCTGGCTTGCTCTTGTCTACTTGGTATGCTGACGTGGCAGCTGCCACGCGTTGCTGCTGACGTGGCTGCTGCCACGTGTATCAGATGCTGATGTGGCGGCTACATTGGAGAGATACAGCTGTTCTGATTCGTCGTAATCAGGAGGGGATCATGACTGTGGGAGGATCAGAGATACGTACCTGTTTATCTTGAGGTTGACGATGCTCCAGCGCTGATGATAGACTTGTTGACGTGCCACGTGGCACATTGAGGAGAACTTCAGATATCGTTCGGATCATTGTTGCTGAGGTGGCGACATTGGGAAGAGAGCCCGAAGAAGAAGAGGGCGCTGTATTCTTTTCCACCCTCTAAGTCTCTCTTCCCAACCTCTTGCTCATTCGTCTGTGTATGATTATCCATCTCTTTGTATCTGGTAACGATTTCAACTATTGATATTTCATCAGTTGGTTGACGACTTGTGGACTTGCATTATCAACGAGTGTCATCACGACTTGGGTTCATTACACTTAGAAAATTTGGTCCACGTAGCAAATCGATCCTCATAGCAGTGCTAGCACCTACACAGCCAATAATGATCATCCATTCCACAAAAAAACTGAAAAAAAAAAAAACAATTTATCTTACCAAAACTCACATCGTTGTCAACAGAATGCAGTCCACAGCAGAGTTGCGCAGGCTGACGCCCCTCGATTAGTCGGCTGCCGACCAGCCGACCAGTCGACGGTCGTTGGCACCACGCAAAAAAAAAAAAAAGAAGGTTTTGTTTTTTTCCTTTTTTTTGGTGCGAGGATCTGGGTCCTTGGCAGGCCTGAAGGGCCCCTGTTGCATATGTGCCCGCCCTAAGTGAAGGCGGGCCAAACAAAACACTAGAGGCCCTCGGCTGTTAATATCGTATTTGGGGTCCAGACAGTTGCGACGTGCCAGTTGGTTAAAGGAAACACAGGCCGAGCAGCAAGAAAATTCCACGGCCTTCCTGGCCCTTCCGGAAGTGCAGACCCTGGGCAAGAATCGCAGCCTCATACACAGACAATTGAGAGGCCCAACCGAATGAGGCCCAGTAGCCGCAGCAGAGGCGCAGCGTACTAGGCCCTACCGGAAGCTTCTAGGCCGAGGCCCAGGCCAGCCAGGCTGCGAAAGCAGGCAGGCTCTTTCCATATAGGAAAAGAGCTCGCTGCCTGGCTGGTCATTCAGCACTTGCATGCTGGCTGCAGCGCTGCTGGAGCGGACGCTCCTGGGCTGCTTCTGGCGCTGAGAGGCAAGTTGCTAACGCGTGCGATCATGCAGGGAGCAGGTCGCAGCCGAGGGCAGCACCATATCCCAGCCTCCATAGCTGGTTGGGTTTGGACTACAGGGGAGGCACAGGGGTGGTCTTCGGGTGTACAGAGGGAAGACATGGGTGTAAGACGAGGGAGAGAGAGAAGGATGACGATGATGATGATGTGAGGGCACATACCTCGTATTGGCGATGGTCTGCTACGGGCAACATCTTCAAGTACTTCGTTGGCTGCTGATGTCAACAGTTGCATTGTCATTTAGTAGGCTAGTAGTAGCTGTGTAGGGAGTAGGCTGGGCGCCAAGCGCCAAGTAGGGAGAAGGGCCTGGATACATATGTTGGTGGTGGCGAGAACAAGCTCTCATTGGCATTGGTTTTCAGTGTTACGATTCTCCATTGGAGTCATATTGGTGCAATGCTGCTTTCTGAACACTGTGATACGATCTGGGTTTCAATGTGATTGTGCAATCTGAATATTGTCATCTCGCTTTTGCTCATTTTCCTTGCATTGGGGTCTATAACCCCCAATAACATCACTAACACCCCCATACAACCCCCCAACACCCTCATACCCCCCCACACAAATACCCCAAATACCCCTCTATACCCCCTCTCTCAATTGATGGAATCCCTGTACTCTTTTTCTTCAACTTTCGTGTCAATTGAACACTTACAATTTTCTGCACTTGGTTGATAGTGTGCCCTCTCTCTCTCTCTCTCTCTCTCTCTCTCTCTCTCTCTCTCTCTCTCTCTCTCTCTCTCTCTCTCTCTCTGTGTGTGTGTGTGTGTGTGTGTGTGTGTTGTAGATTTTCACCACAGAAGCCATTGTTCCACCCAGATGAGTAGATCCAAAATTGATGCAGCTGTGTGTGTGTGTGTGTGTGTGTGTGTGTGTGTGTGCGTGTGTGTTTCCAAAGAACCCCAAACTCTCTCTCTCAGTGAATGAATCATCAATTCACTCAGATTGAGTTCTACGTCTGGATTCAAGCGAATCTCTCTCTCTCTCTCTCTCTCTCCACCCACAAATCATCACAATGTGTGTGTTTCTGTATTGCGCTTCATAAACATTACGACTAAGCTGATATGCCAGAATCTTGTGTGCCTTATGGCAGCAGATCAGCACTGTAGAATTTCAGAGAATGAAATGGACACCTGCTCCGGAGGATTGCCCCCACTAACCTACATTAACGACCTGAGCCAGCCCAGCTCTGTTATAAGAGATCTCATCAGGGGAAAAAAAAAAAAAAACACCGCTTGGAAGATCTGAATGATAAGACGCTTGAAGAGCATCAACAGCATGACAATAGATAAAGACGCAGCATCGATGAAAGCCAATGAAACCATTGAAATCGAGCTCGGATGCAAATGGAAACGCAAACCCGGCGACTGGTGAAAGAAAGGCCTACACTTTTGTCAGGCCTGTAGTGTTATCCAATTCACCAAGCCTGTAGCCTGTAAGCCATGTTAAATTGGATAAGGTCCCCACAGGCTGATGGACTATTCTCCAGTACATTATCAGGCCTGTAAGGGACCTTATTTAACCAAAGCTACCTTTCCAGCTGTTGGGAAAAGTGGGAAAACAGCCCACCGCACATGCTTCGGGGGCTGGCCCGGACGGCAGCCACTGGTGTCATTTCGGCCTCCCGAAACAAGAGGGGACCCACCCCACGGCCGATGTGAGGGGAGGTAGGGGACCCACCCCACGACCGATGTGAGGGGAAGGTAGTCGTGGTTTAGGGTCAAGCAAGCAAGCATACTCATATATGACCCCTCAACGGCGCAGAAAAATTAATCTAATATCGTTCTGGGCCGATGGACCACGGATCAGATATTAAACAGGACAGAGAAACAGATACTACACCCCACGGCTGATGTGAGGGCAAGGTAGTCATGGTTAAGGGTCAAGCAAGCAAGCATACCCATATATGACCCCTCCACGGCGAAGAAAAAATAATATAATATCGTTCTGGCCCGATGGACCACGGATCAGATATTAAACAGAATAGAAAAACAGATACTACACTTTATCTATTTTTAGCCAAACACTTGAACCAAGCCAAAGGTATAATAATATAATTCATTATCCATTTTATCAGGCTTGTAGGGACCTTATCCAATTTACTTATCAGACCTTGGGCCTCACTCCACTAACACAACACTCTACATATATCTGGAGCTCGTAATCGTCCGAACACATTCAAAATGTTGGACTCCTCCGAATGCACCAGGTCAAGAAAGGCGACCAAATGCATGTACAATGTGAGTAGTGGAGCGAGGAGGCCTGTAGTGTTATCGAATTTTATCAGGCCTGTAGTCTGTTCGTCCAATTCGTTCCTACATCCTATCAGGTCACATCAGAGGGGGAGAAAGGACAAAGCGAATAACGCCGAATACATTCATAATGCATCAGGTCACGACAGGCGACCAAATGCATGTACAATGTTGAGTAGTTATCCAATTTCATCAGGCCTATAGAGTTATCCAATTTTATCAGGCCTGTAGTCTGTTCGTCCAATTCGTACCTACATCCTATCAGGTAACATCAGAGGGAGCAAGGACAAAGCGAATGATGTGGAAACCGACTCACCCACCTTCATCGTCCCGACTCTTGTGGAAGTTCTTCAGAAACCCGACACTGTCGTCTGAAAAGAACAAATCAAAGAAATCCTTTACCCTGATCTGTGCAAACAGGCGACCAAAACCATCGACACACAATGCATCAGTTAGACCACCAGTATTTCCTACAGTTGTGCCCGTTAACAAGCCAGGATTTTTGGAAACGTACGGGCCACTACAGGAGCGCCCAAATTCATCCAACTAGAAATGTTTCTACTCTATTTTTCTCCGTGGCCGATAGCTGGACCAAGTGCTGGTGGCTTAAGGCAAGTTACCCGAGTTAAGGCAAAAAAACATTCACACATCGTAGATTTCAGTTAAGGCATACGATTACAGCCTTACGCTACATAACCATGGCTCTAACCACAGAACAGCAGATATTGAGGAGGAGTTTTGCCGATTGCAGTTGAGCACATGCTGGTAGATATCTGGAAGTGCCCACGCATCTGTGTGTGCAACGGATCTTGCAAGCCCCTCCAAAACTTCCCCCTACGCTTTTCCCCCAACCCCAACCCCMCCCCTCTCTTCCCCCCCCCCGCGGCCCTTTTGCTAGCAAAGCATGTTACAACCCCCCTTAAACCACCAGTACACGCCATGCATCGGCCGCATGCCCCTTTTGAAGGCCGATACGAGACCCCGACTGCTGATGTTTTTTTTTTATCAACAGCGCGCCGGCCCTGACTTTTGCAGACTAGGCGACGAAACATTTTCAGCAACAATGAGGCCTTGTACTGGCAGCTTGAGCGGCCGGAACACCCACGCCTGGGCGCCAAGCTTTGCCAAACCGCCAGCGGCTCGCTTTTTTTATGGCTTTGGCGCCGCCAGCCGCGGTAGTCCAGAGGCCCAAGGCGCGCAATTTTTGAAGTAGGCGAGGGAATATTTTCTGCAAGGCTGGGGCCTTGTACTGGCGTTTTAACAGAGCATCAATCTTCCCCGTTGCATGAATAGCATATCACCCCACAACCTTCCTTTCTGGCTGGAGTCAAATGTTCACCATAATAGAACCCCATTTACAGAGCAATATATAAGTAACAAAACGTCTTTTTCTTTTTTTCCTTTTTTCTTTTTTTTTTTAACCAGGACCTTATGGTCATTCTACAGAGCAATAAATATATTTAATATTTATTAAAATAAATAAATAAAATACTAAAAAAACAGGGCCTTGTGGTCCTGGTTCCTTTCGATTCAGGCGAGCACCAATCTAGTTCTTTTTCCATAGGCAAGTAATAGACCTTGACATACATCAACTTCACTTCCCTACCATTCCCTTCCCTTCCTTTTCTCTTCCCTACCCTTCCCTTTCTTTCTCTTTCCTGCCCTTCCCCTACCATCCTTTCTCTTCCCTACCCTTCCCTTTCTTTCTCTTTCTTGCCCTTCCCCTACCATCCTTTCTCTTCCCTACCCTTCCCTTTCCTTCCTTTCTCTTCCCTACCCTTTCCTTCCTTTCTCTTCTCTACACTTCCCTTTCCTTCCTTTCGCTTCCCTACCCTTTCCTTCCTTAGTCTTCCCTACCCTTTCCTTCCTTTCTCTTCCTTAGTCTTCCCTACCCTTTCCTTCCTTTCTCTTCCCTACCCTTTCCTTACTTTCTCTTCCCCGACCTACCCCATCCTTCCCTACCCTGGAAGGGAAAGGGAAAGGTCCCTTCTTTCCTTGCTCCCACCCTCCAGGCAAAGGACACAAACAGGGACAGACAAGGGAGGGACAGGCAGACAAAGTGGTTGGGATGGGGGAACAACATAAAATGTAGGCTGGAAGAAAAGCAAATTATCCGGACCTCCCTCTCCACGCCCACCAATTCACCCCAGAAAAAAAAAAAAAAAAAAAAAAAACTAAAAAGGAAAGGAAAAAGGACTGAGACCATTGGTGTACTTCTGCGTCCGCCTTCCAAACTAGGTAAACCATTTGCAATCTTGCCAGAGAAAGTCGAAGTCAACAAACAGAACGGAAATATCCGGGTATTTCTTATCTTAAGACAATTTTCCTATTTATGCATGTCGTCCTTGCGCAGGGGCCATGCTAATCAATGTTGTCGGTATCGTTCCAATTTAAACGGATGTCCCGAAGGACTTCAGCAGCGTTCAGCCAGTTATTTCTTTTCTTTTCTGTTCTTTTCTTTTCTTTTTCAAGAGTTGTAGCAGGGTTGCATACCTGGCGACCGCCGACCCCGACCATCGACCGTATTTCAGCCAACCAGTAGGGCCGACCGGTCGGCGGTCTACTGACCACTCAGAAAATAACCATCCACTGATTTTTTTTCAAATCTGAGTTGGGAGCTGTACTGCACTTGCTGAGTACAGCCCAAATCCGCTGAGAAACTTTTGGGGATGGAGGGGGTTATGGGGGGGTTGGGGCTGGAGCATACCCTGTCTCTTATACACATCTAGATGTGTATAAGAGACAG